GGAATCTTGAAGGATGAGGATGACCCCCCTAACTGAATGCTTGACTATGTTGCCAAGATCAGACACATTTTCTTCCTGCAAAACTCTCTCCCTGAATTTGTTCATGCCTCACCAATCCTCAGTCTACTGTTGGAACACCAGCTTCTCACCCCAAATATTGTGAGGGTGCATTCATTACTTTCTTGATGTTCAGACAAAATATCTGAGAAAGGGACCTCGAAGACAGAAGGGTTTATGTTGTATTGCAGTTAATGGGTACAGTTTACCTTGATTGGAGAGAGCATAGAGGCAGGAGCTGGGGGAAGCTCACCACATTGTGTCCACCTTCAGGGGGTAGAGAGAGATGAATGCTTGTGTCCAACTCACTGCTCTTTTATTCAATCCAGGACCCCAGTCCATGAGATGGTACTATCCCCATTTAGGGTGTTCCTTTCCTTCTCAGTTATTTGCATCTGGAAATCTAAAAGATCCTAGATCCTGTCAGATTGACAGTCAAGATTAAACACATTAGACTGGTTGACTGCTCTGAATAAAGACATTGGCCACACAAGTCAGGCAGCCTGAGTTTGATCCCTAGAACCCAGGAGCAAATAGAAGAGAACTGACTCCACAAGGTTGTCCTCTGGCCCTGATACACACACATACCCATGGACTAATAATATTTTTCAAGTATTGCAATTGCAGATGATCTCCATCTCATCATCTCTATCCCTTCACAGACACCTTTAATCCCCATCAAGAACACAGCAAGATGTCGAGCCTGCAAACATGAAAAGATGCACCTTGTTCAAAATCTACAGTAAGGTTCTCCCACAACCTACCTGATGAGGTCTTAGCTCCACCATACACTCTTACAACTCCTCACAATTCCCTTTGTGTGGTTCACCCAGTCTTACTTTCTATTTCCTCCCCCACTGAAACTGACAGTTGCATTCTTGAGTATTTAAGGGAACTGGTAAGTCCCTTTTCTACAATCAGTGCATATGATTTGTATATTTGAGAATTCCTCTCAGTGTCTTTCCCAGCTCATGCTTCCAGGATTCCCCTAAATCATATGTAACATCTCCATTTGCAGTCCAGGTCACCTGATAGATGCCTCGTCAATGTCATCTTCAGTTCCTACACAGACAATTGTACTTCTTGGCTTATTGACTTTTCAATATATGCAATTTTTGTTACAATACCTTCTCATTTTCTCATTACTTTTATTATTCTACTAGATCTGTCTAATAGACTATTTTCTTTCTTGTATGCAAAGTCATAATGTGAAAGCTTTAATGAATATTAGGAGTGCAGAGATCAATATACTTCATGCATGCCCTTTCCTTCTCTTCTTTGGGCATTTTTTGAACACCCATTATGTGGTTTGACTATTGAGAAATCCTATACATTGTCATAGTTTCAGGTAATTATGTTCAAGGTCACCATGAAAACTCTTATCTAGTCTCATGATTGCTGTTGTAAGTATGTAGATGGAACATCAATTATACAAACAACGCTATCTTTAGAAATGTAAAAACCAACTCAAGCAGAGGTCAAAACCCTAACTGAAGAGGGTTTTGGTAGGAGATGCCGGATGGGTAAGGAGAAGGCCCCTGAGTGAGGAGCTCAAATCAGAAAGCATTCCAGGAGGAAACACAGCTGTGGACACCTGAATTTGCCTTGACCACAGGAGAAGGGAGACAAGCAGGCAATGTAGCTAGCAGAACAGCTGGGCACAACTGTAATCCAACTTGTTTGATGAAGTTAAAGTTCTGTCATGAACCATTGAATAATTTTGAACAAGGCATGCCACAGTCACTTTGCAGGCTTGAAACTGCTCTGCACAGAATGAGGGTGTGGCAGGCGAGAGAAGAGGCGGCTATGGGGTAGGGAGACCTCTTAGAGAAATGAAATAATATTCAAGTGAGGAATAATAATATTCTCAGTCAACACAGCAGTGTAGGAGAATGGAGAGGAGAATGGTTTGATGTGGTCCAAGAAGGTTCTAGGGAAGGGTGACTGTGTAGAGAGAAAGAAAACAGCTCTTCTGGTGCCCTTTTCTTGAGAAGGCTCTTCTCTGCTGAAGTGCTTCCTTGACCCCTCGTATGCAGAGTATGGGCCAGATCTACTCAAGAACCTGCTTCACAGGCCTCCATCTCCTTCTCACCAAGCAAGTCGGCTGCTTCCCCCACTTATCCAGTGTGGAAGCAAGGACCGTGGCTCACAGAAGCAGCACATTGGCCACATGTGACTGTTGTACTTTTCCCTCTTGGAATATGATCTCAAAGTTTCTTGAGCAACTGCCAGTAGGCCATGCCACATTGCTAGCAATGCACTGAAAATAGAATGAAGGCAACTGCCTCAGGAAAGATTAAGGCAGAGAGTAAGACTGCACTTATGCAATACTCACCCTCTATGTACTTGGGCAGCCCTGAGGAGGTCTCTCCATAGCTGTGTGGGTATCACACGGTGTGGGTACACCTTGCTGAAGAGGGTGTCTGTGTGGGAGTCCACACAACATGCAGACCCACACTGGAAGGGATGTCTGTGTTGGAGTCTTCTAACAGAGCAGACCATCAGGCCCATACTGGAGAGGTATCCATGTGTGTGTCCTGACATAGTATCCCACATGGCCCATATACTAGAGGGAGCAACCGTGTAGGTATCCTGACACAGCACACCCCAATGCCCATGGTTGTCTGTGTAGGAATCTTCTGACACAGCATACCACCCAGGCCCACACTAAAGCGGGTGTCTGTGTGGAAATCCTGACAGAATTCACCATCCAGGCCTATGCTGGGAGGGAACGTCTGTGTGGGAGTGTCCTGACAGAACCTACCACCCAGACAGGGCTGAAGGAGGTATTTGTGTGGGTATCCTCACAGAGCACTCCACTTAGGCCCACACTGCAGAAAGTGTTTGTGAGGGAAGATTCAGACACAGTACAGTGCCTAGGCCCATGCTGGAGGGGTTATCTGTGTGTATATTCTGACAGAAGTCACGCTATCTGGCCCACATTGGACTGAATGTCTGTGTGGTAGAATGACTGGAGGATGTATCTATGTGGGTATCCTGACAGCACACCACTCAGGTTCATGTTTTCGGGGTCCCTCACTAACCCACTGCTTATAGGCTTGCTAACTCTCTTGGAGGGACTTCAGAACACAAATCTCCTTCAAGTGCTGATGTCCCAGCAAAAAGCTGTGCAAGTGAGACTTCATTAGCCAACAAACACATCTGCACTCCCTTGTGTTTGTCAGCTTTTGTTAGCCAACCTGTGGAGATGCTTGTGTTTGGAGATTATCAGGCCTGTTTGGGGGAATACCTGCCCTAAAAGGAGCTTTGGAGACCATGGATAAATTCTCTCATTTTCTGCCAGAGATAAACCAATGCCTAGGAAGTTCCATGGTTTCCCTGGGGCTTCCTGTGTTCTTAAGTTTAGAGGAAGGACTGAAACCCCAGCCTGAATATAGGGAGGACTTTTCCCTAGTGCTCTTGGCTTCTTACAATGAAATCTGGACGGCCAGAAAGCTTCCTTGTCAGATCCTTCAAACACCCCCGGGGGTGGAGAAAACATTAGTACAAAAGAAGGAAATCAACCCCATAATTAAATACTGAACTGACTCCAGACCAACTAGCAAGAATATTGTGCTGGCTTCCCTAAGCAAAACAGGGGGAGGGAGGTGAGGCCTCATCAACCAGTCACAGCTCATAAACAGGCATAGAGCAACCAATTGGAGATGCAAACATCTTGGATGGGATGCAAAAGTAACTAGAATATGTAGCTGCTGGTGAGGACCTTCAGCATCATTTGTTAATCTCACTCGGCTCTCTATTTTCATTTCCTTTAAAACCTCAATTCAGAATATGTTGGCCAAATGGTAAGAATAAAACTCCAAAAAGACCTCACAGGTGCAAATCTCCATCTGAAGAATATCAAGGAGACATGGTAGGTAAAGGCAACCTAAGGAAGAAATGAGATGGTCTGGACACTGAGGTGCTTCTAGCCTCCTAGGCTGTTATCTAGTTGGAGAGAAGGAAGACTAGTAGATAGAATAAGAAGATAGAGTCATCATGCATCCTAATGTTAACTTTGCTATCTCATGTATGGAACCACAATAGCTTTGCTTAGCTGGAACTCATGTGCACACGTTTCTACAGCTTTTAGTATCTGCACAGATCAGTACAACTGCTGCACTGGGTGATCTTAAAACACAACCATCTCTTCAAAAGGAACCTCAGCCCCAAGTCCAGCCTCAAGCAACATAAATATACCTTGAGTTTGTAGATCCCCCTGTCATACTTGTTTTATGTGATGGGGTCATACAGTACGTAGTCTTTGCAAAGTAATTTCTCTGGTAGGCAGTAATGCTTTCAAGGTTCACTCATCGGCTTCATTTAAAAAAAAACATGTCTATTTTTAATAGACACTTGTTACCATATGTATTAGGGAGTACAATGTGATAGTCCAACATATTTACACAAATTGGAATGTTGCAATCAATGTAACCAGTACACCTCTACCCTAGTCCTGTGCCATTTCTTGGTGTTGGAAACATGACCACTGCTCTTGGCTGACCCCAGAAATTAAAGGTTAAGATCCTATTGCTGAAGGTGCTACACACCTTAGTTGTAGAATGTAAATAAGCCATGCTGGAACTGAGCTGAAAGCCTCCTCCAGAGTTGTTTTGCAGACAGTGGGGGAAAGGAAGGGTCAGTGAGTATCTTTTCCAGCTTTGGACTCTGCATGCCATGATAACTTGCTAGGCAAACTGTGCCTCCTGGTGCAGGAATGGCACAGCTGTTACGGTGGTAATCAACTTATTTCTTTTCTTTTCAATTGATTCTTATTTAACTTCAAATCATGCGCTGCAAACTCCTTCATCTCTCCAACCCTCCTGTCTGCCTTCTGCCCTTACAACCTCCCCTTAAAAGAAAATAAAAATAATAAAAAATTAAAAACTAAAGATCAAATTAAAGAGAAAAGAGAAAACAAACAAGCAACGACAACAAGAATCTTGCAGTGAAAGCTGTGGTGTACGATTGTGTGTCACCCACTCTACCCTTTACCCAAACAGCCTTGATTATAAATGCTCATTGCAATAGGTGAATTGTTGGTCTAGTTCAAAGCCTCTGCTTTCTGCCACACTGTCAACACTGGAGCCACACGAGGACTCCTCTCAAATATCCTGTTGTTGGCCTGTGTCCTGGAGACCCTGCATCTTTGGTTCTGCACGGGTGGGCCAACTCAACCCTGAAGCTGGGCCTGCATGATAGCTGAGTTGGTCAGGCTGCCTGCTTGCCTCTGCCTGTGCCACCAGCACCACGGCTCCAGCTTTGTCCAGGTGAGGGACGGGCCCAGCTCTCCCATGCCTGGCTCATGCCCTTGGTGTCAACTCACCTACTCAGCCATATTCACGCCACCAGGGCCAGTTCTAGTGTGCTGCCCTGGCAAGGTGTAGGGCCCAATCCCCTGAGTGTTGCAGCTGACTAGGGGTGCAGCCAACCAACTGATTCCTAATTGGATCTGAGATCTGCTCTAAGGGAGGAATGCCATTGCTCTGGCCAAAAGCCCATGAATTAATTTGTTACCAAACTGCTTTTTAGCTATTTATGTTTATAACCATAGTTTAGTCTTATCCTCAGCCTTAGTCAAGGAAGCTCATCACTGTAGTGAATACAGTTACTATGGAGACTTGAGGATAGTCAAGGTGCTTAGCGCAAGTGACTACTGAGCACTGAGACTTAAGTAGAACACCCATAATCACATGCTGAAAGCTCAGAGGACATCACAGCACAGTGGACAGAAAGAATCTAAGAGGTGGGTGATAGAGAAGAGGATGGTGAGACACTGTCTTAAGAGAGTAACGTGACGCTCATAAACTCACAGGGGTTGTGTGAACGCTCAATCATAGATGGGAGGGCCTCACCGGGCCTCACCTCACTCAGCATAGTTAATGGCAGTCAAGGACTGTTGGGAGTGTGTAGAAAGCCATCTATAACCCCTGATGAGCTACTTATGCTACTGCAGATAGACTCCCATCCATGTCCACGCAAGTGTCCCTGGCAGAAATCTAGTGGGTAAAAAAGCAAACAAAAGAAAATGAACAAACAAATTTAAAAATTGAGGTGTTGGGGAGGGTGGATAATAAAGAGTGTATGTGAGGAAGTGTATGCAGAATGTATCATATACAGGTATGAAACTGTTGGATAGTAAATTAATTAAGATAAAATAACTTTAAATGTCCCAATCATAAAAATGTTGGGAACAAAAGGAGAAGATTCAAAGGTATAGAAGCAGGGGAGGGAAACGGCTTTCAATCAGAGATAAGATGAGGTAATGACTGCAGAGGATGCTGGAAAAACAAAAGAGCCTAGAAAACCCGGGGGCTTACAGGTCAAAATGGAAAGGCCACTAGGCTATCAGATTCTAATTAGATGCCAGGGGAATCATTTTCATAATGAATAAAACAGTGCCACCTACTTCAAAAGTTCTTTCACCCAGAGAGTTTGAAATAGTAAATTAACTTCAGTTCTTCGTATGACCAAACGATATTCTAAATAATAATTGCATGGATATATTTTGTCTTTCTCTTGGCTGGTCAATATTTGGGTACTTTTCACCTATTCATCGCTATGAGTCATGTGGACCTAATTTTGATAGAGATGGCGATATCCATCCTGGTGCTTTTGAGCCTTACTCAAAAATATGATCTGGGCTCTCTGAGGTAAGCTGGTTTTTTTCTATTTGGTCACTAAGACATTCCCAGGAGGGATGTCCAGGCCATCACAGAGGGCACTCTGAATCATATGCCCTGTATAGTACCTATTACTAAAGTGAGGAATCTAATTCATAAAGACCCTCTCCTTTGGGGACCAAGAGTAAGTAGGCTAGACGCATGCTCAGGTTAGCTGGGAAATAGACTGTTGCACAAGGGGTGGGTTTGAGTGCTTTGGTGGGTTTCTGAGAGGGGCAGAAAGACATGAGAAGGGGAAAAGCTGGTTAGTTTTATGGATAGTGGGGGCTTACCACCCAGGACAGGCTTCTGCTCCTTGGCGAGCTACATTAAGGGGATTGTGATACAATAGATAAAAAACATTTTGGAGACATTAGGTTTAAATCATGATCACAGCAAAAAAAGAACATGGGTGCCCTAGAGCAAACTATTTAATCTATGAGAACAAGTCCTCTTGATCCAGAGCCGGGCAGCCCACACCCTCGGGGCTTTAAGAAGCTGAGTGGGGCTCTGAGAGTGCTTCAATATCGTGGCTGGTTTATAGAATGAGTTAGCAAAATGTACTTCTTCATTATTTCCAATGCGCGTGAGGAGGGGGTAGAAACACATGAATTCACTAAGCGGAAATGCACAAACGTGCAAAATTCTCTTCCAGTTGTCAGGGCATGGGGCAAATAACCCAGTCCTCTGCCCTCAGGACGTCTTCATTTAGCCAAGAGCTGTTCTGCTGCTGGGTTTTTATATTTGAGGTAACATTTGTATTTCTAGAAGCTGATTTCCATCGTGTACTGAGTGTCTGACTTCGGGAGAGGAAACCATTCTGCGGAAGCACACAAGCAGACACTGTCTCTAAGCTTTAGTCAGACATTCTCCGGGAGGCGTTCCTCAAATCCTTCTTCAAGGCAGTATTAGTGGGGATTCTTTTGGTCCTGGTTGACAAAAACGAAATTTGAACTACCTTAAGCAGAAAGGTGAATTCATTTAAACAAGGAGACGAAGAAAACGCTAAGGGAGACGCAGAAAGTGGCCCCAATAGTTGCAGCCGCGGTTGAAGGCCATCTAGGGAGCCACTCTCTCTTACATACATTATCCCAGTGTGACAGCTGAAGACTCGTTCTACAGATGGTGGACAAACGTGTATATTCCATGTAGGGTTCACCTATGGTAGATTCAGATGCCATGGCCTAACCCAGTTCTCACAGGTAATTCTTAGAAAATTTCCAGAAAATTCAGTCAGATAAGAATCTCTATTAGACTGCTCAGGTCGGTAGGAAGATGACAGGATAAGGCCAGAGCTCTTCTGCTGCCCATTGAAACCCATTCTGCCTAATAAGACAGAACCCCAGAAGGCTGACGTCATGTCACCTTCCTGGTAAACAATGTGCATAAATAGAAGCTCTCAACACTAAAAAGTGAGTACACAATAGAGCTTAGGAGAGGCCACAACTTATTCAGTCCACACAAGGTGTCCCTAAGAGAAACGAGCCAACAATACATTACTTCTGCAAATGTGTTGGATATATTCAAACAAAGACATTAAGAGGGGATTATTCACCATTGATATGTCAGGGAAGTAATAATAATGTTTTTATTGCGCATATTAGTGTTCTTGAGTGCTTTTAAAGTACCATGGAACTTCAAACTATTTTCCAGTTTCAGAGAATTAATTAGTTTCCCCGTGGAATAGTTCAGAAGTGACGTTGCTGCTTTGGAGATGGGAAAAGTAAGCAGTTCTGGATTACTCATCCTTTCAATAAGTTTATAGCAAGCTTATGTTCTGCGTATGAATCTGGCCTTCAGTCATGGGGGCATGAACTGATTGGTGAAAAACTGGAGGTATTTATGAGACAATAGGAATTGTTCAATTACAGACCAGGGTAAAGTCTTCAGTCTTTACTATATGGAATCATTGTTAAAATCAAACAATATGTAACCTTATTAATGTAATTAACTGATTATTTCTCCAATTCTTTATAAAATTGGCCCCATATTTGGAAAAGGGTTGATTCATTGTCAAAAATAGTCAGATGGTTTGGTGGTTCTCTAGTTTGTGTGCTGATACTTTCTGTAAATACTGGGAAGGCCTGTGTCGCTGGCATTCATGAATCACCAGGTAGTCATTATTAAAGGGAGGTCTGATTACATTTGAGTCTCCCTTTCCATGTGAACCAAGCCACACCCAGTGAGAAAGACCTAGAGCTCCCTGAGAGATTTGTGTAAGGAAACCACCACCAGGCCCTCAGCTCCCATGGAGCTCAAGGCTAAGCACAGCACAGCCTTCTTTTGCTTGAGAGTGAGCCCCGCAGCAAGCATGCTCTTAAGGGGGCTCCTTGCCCAAATTCCTGCTTCAGGTTGCTTTGCAATGGCTTCCTGCTACCTGGAATACCTTTAGCAAAGGTTTTGTGGAAGCAACATCTCCATGCCTTGATTTGTTTCATTCCATAGACAACAGGGCTTCAGGTACCCCAACTCTCTGAATTTGAAAAATTCAGCCTCCCCTCCCACCCCCCCCCAAGAGGCAGGGGTTGACACTTTTGTAGAAATGTTTCAGTTGGGAATGTGGTGCAGAATTGAAGGAATTTCTTGTACATGCAAAGGTTCTTAGAACGAATTACCTGAAACAATGTACTCCATTCCTAAAAGACCCTAAACAGAAAACATCACTAAATCCCATTTCCCTGGATATCTTTGTAACATTTCTTGAGTGTGCAGACAACTTTTTATAAATGGCCCATCTCTGAAGCAGCAGCACCTTGGAGGTGACCCTGAAGGTAAGACAGTTTCCTGACCCTTTCACACTAAGTTCCTTCTCTGGTTCACTAACTAAGTTATAGGCAGAGCTTCCAAGAAGCATCCTTTCTCCTGTTTCGTTTTTTAATTGGACGTCAGCACAAACAGAGGAAACAACCAACCAGAGTCTCATATTAAATACCATATTTTGCAGAGCTGGACTTGATTCCTGGTTGCTACAAAACAGATCTAAGTTTATAGCAGAGGTGACAAACTCCATGCCCTGTCATTTACCCTTTTTATAGCATGGGTGACACCAACAGTCAACAAGTCATGTTGACAACTTGGTGAGGCAACCAAACCAGAAAGCCACCATAAAGGTTATCTGAGCCACAGTCAGGAGTTGTTTTTTTATGTTTCACTAAATTTATGCGCTATGGACATTAGTTCTATTTCATTTCAAACTCAGCATCAAGATAATCACACAGCAGAGAAACTAAAGCTTCAGATGTAAGATTGTATAGTCAACAATTGGGAAGGCCTGGATATAAACCAGATCTATAGGGCCCAGATTCTGAACCCCATTGTGTTCTGTGTCATCTTGTGCCTCTGGAACCTTCAACTAAACTTATCCCATCTATAACAACTTAACATTTGAAATATTTCACTATCCATCTCTCATTCTCTCCCAGTCTGTCAAGCACCTCTACAGTTGAGTTCAGTTATATGTTATCAGTCATCTCCTGAGTTGTGAGAAGTAGGGTCATTGGCACCACAAACAAATTTTATACTTTCAGTAAGAATGCCAAATTTCCCTCTGAATAATTATACTACATTGCATGCCTGCTCTTCATATGTATTTATTTCTAGGTCCTAAGAGTCTCAGTTTAAAACAGCAAAAAAATAAATAAATAAAGTCAATGATAATTGAAATCCAGACTAATCAAATCACATTGTGAAATATTAGAAATGTAAGCCATGAAATATAAGAGTATCTAATGTGAGGCTTTTTGATAGGAGTGTCAGTGGTTTGCATTTTTGAGGTGTGTCTGGAACCAATATACCTACCTTCAGAGTTCAGCAGTGAAATACTGTTCAGTTTCTTCTAAATGCATCTGCAATAAGAAAGCATCATTGCAAATGTGGAAAATGTCATGAGGCTTTCAACATGCTTGATACAGGTCACCAAATGTTAAAGACTATTCTGGTGGATCCCCATCTGGAATGGGTTTGCTCTGGGTGCTAGCTGCAGTATGCCTGACTCTTGCCCTGTGCATGAGCTCAACAGCATGTCTTTCTGGCCTGTAGGAATGAACTCAAAAGAGCAGTGAGATGGTCCCTGGGAGCAGATGAACTAGGAGCAAAGAGGAAGGAAGAGCAGTGTGCTGTCAGCAAAGGGGCCGGCGGAAATCACTGTACTCCCCAAAGGTTCCATCACACAGTCCTTTATTCCAGGGACACTGGGTTCACTGCTCTTGAAGAAGATCTTAGACTAGATAAGCATTCCTAGTATCTGGTGGACTCAGCAGATACCATCACTGTTGAATGCTGCACCTGCAAGGGGTCTCACAGGTGAGTGAGATGATAAAAATCTATCAACGTGTCAGTTCTACAAGTGATGGGAGATGAAAGTCTGTGACAGTTTAGAGAAGAGAAAGTTTGATTTGGCCTGGGGCGAAGCTTAGGACAAAAGAGACAGAAAACCCGTGGTGATTGTTGAGCCTGGAAAAGCAAGTAATTCAACCTTCTTAAATTGGTTTCTGGTGCTGACTTTATAATTAAAGTCATGAAATAAGAATATTACGGAAACCAACAATTGTTTCTCTGTCTCAGTTTCTGTTTACCTTTAGGGCTCGCGCGCGCACACCACACACACACACACACACACACACACACAACCTCAAGAGACTTTCTGTTGCACCTTTAAAGGCATCCCTGGGAGGGACAGGGAATCCTGGGGAAGGAAGAGATACTGGCTGGCTGCCAAGGATTAGGGGCTACAAATGACTGCCTAAATGTTAGGTACCATGAATTCAGGGTAGACTCATTTGGAAATCCAACAATGGAACCATGGGGGGGGTATGGAGACCCCTATCTCTTCTCTCACTCATCTTTCTTCACAACAGGCTAGCACAGTACTTGGCACCCACTAAGAAGTCACTTGTAGAATTAATTTTAAATATTTGCTCTTCCCCTGTTGACAGCAATGAACCTTGGCTAAACAGTTGCCCCGTTTAGTAATCAGGAAACGAGGGGGAAAATGGGCCCATAGCAACCTGTCCTGAAACTGCGCTAGAGCAGAGGAGGCTTAAGGCTCCTACCTCAGCTCTGGCTTTTTTTAGCAAACGTTGAAGTCCTTCCCCTCCCCATTTAGGACCCTCCAGCTAGAAGGCAGAAACCGGTGCCAGCGAGGTGATAGCCAGCTCTGCCTGTCACGTTCACTCGTTCTAGCTCCTCTAGTCCCCAGAAGCCTCGCCCCTCCTCCATGCCCAGCCCAGGTTTGGAGGCGAGTCGCCTCTAGTGACTGAGCCGCCTGCATGTTGGCGAGTGGCTTTCTGCCTCCTTCGCATCTTTGTCTCCACCTCCAGAGAGGCTCCTGCTCCCCGCACAGGGTCTGCAGCGGCCGCCGCCGCAGCGAAAGCCAAGTCGTGCCCCACACGGCAGCCCGGGGCCGCACCCTCGCTCGGTGGCGGCGCGCAAAGACGCCAGCCGCGCCACGCACAGCCTGCGTCCTGCGCCCCGACCACAGCGCATCCACGCCGCCGCGGCGGTAGCTCCGGAGCGGAGCCCGGCCGGCGGGCCGGGTCAGGGTGGGCAACCCAGTTTGCTGTCTGCTGGAGGTGGCAGCCGCTTCAGCCCTGGCAGCGCGCACACCCCTAGGCATATGCACCAAACGCCTCCTCCCTGCGCCACGAGGATGGAGCAGCCATCCCAAGCCAGGACTGGCGCAAGGTAAGGTGCAGCCGCCTGTTGCTTTACGCAGAGCGCGGGATCAGCTCCTAGTCAGGTTGCCTAGGCCATCTCTCTGGGAAGCAGAGAACAGTCACCCAGCTCTGAGTCGTGTCAGTCCAAATCCCCGGGTCCCTTTGACACAGATCATTGGAGAGACTCTGCCTAGAGAAGGGAAGTCGACCCTTTTCGCTCTTGAGCAACCAGGTGCCATGCAGCAGTCTGCAAACTTTTGTGACCCTCCGCGTGGTCCTCACCTGGTGTGGTGCCTGTTCATTTCTTGCATACGCCCTTCCCCCAGCTCCCCTTTCCTTAACGCATTTGCCCATTTCTCTCACTGTGTTCTTGCAGTTCGACTTTTCGCTCCCTGCTGCAGCTCCAGTCGAGGGAGGGCTTGGGATCTAGCAATGCTTTCCCCTGCCTGTCGCAGCTGGGTAGGGGCAGAGAAGGAGAACCAGGAGAGCTGGGACTTAAGGGAAGGCTGCTGCCACCCGGGGTCTCCGTCCAGAGCGGTGGGGGTCAGGCCACTTGAGCATGCCACCCCCAACTCGATAATAAAATCCTCAGAGTGGCTTTCGTTCAAGGTTTTGTGCCGTGGGAAACCCAAGTGCGGATCTGGGTGGGTGAAGTAAGTGGTTCTGGGAGGAAAAGGTCTCTCTTGAGGATGCGGGAGGCAGCCAGAGGTTGAGATCTGCCTAAGGGTGAGGGCACAGAAAGGCTTTGTTAATGTGGGCAAATGGACAGCCCAGCGTGGTCACTGAAAAGGATTTAGAAAAGAGATTGAAGTCCGGTGGGGGTTGCGGGGGGAGGCCGGCCGGCCTGGAAGTGTAAATGCAGGGGGAGGGGCTAGGTACCTGGGAGGTCCAGAGGTGGGAAGCTGCTCCTGGAATTCCTGCCCCGGGGTATTTAGGAAGGCTGGCTGCTTCTGCCTAGGGTAGAAAGAGCTCCCTCCCCAGGAACAAACAAACCTCTCGGCTACATTCTGAATGCGTTGGCATCTTGGGCGGTGACTGAATGTTCAGATCATGGACCGAGGACGCTGTTCCTGGCTCCAAGAGGATCACAGCCCCTCTCCTCTCCAGCACCCGCTCGCTTCTACTCCCCTTCATCTTCGCATCCGGGTCGGTAGATCTACACCCGCGGTCTCTGACAGCATTGGGGCGTCAAGGAGGTCTCCACGTCCCGGAATGGGAAAGGGGACTCCTGCCTGATCCCTAGGGGTATACGTGTGGAGAGCAAAGGGGAGTCCCCAGCGCTCAGCATGTAGGCTGGGGTCCCAACCCTCCAGAGGAGCTTATAGGGCGGAGGCTGCACCCGGAGCCACCTTCTCCCGGCTGCTTCAAGATTTGCACCTGGGAGGAGCAAAGAAGGGAGTGGGGGAGCACGGAGCTGGGCTGCAGAAAGATCCTTAGCTTAGACCTGGAGGGTGTGTGGAGAGTCTCAGCGGAAGGGGGTGTGCACAGCTCCTCTTATGAGGGGAGACCCAGCTTCTTGACCTGGGATCAGAGTTGGGTCTACCCACTTTGCAACCCCCAGATAAATCGCCCTGGTTGTTTCTGATGGCTTGGTGGATGCAGGAATCCTTTTCAGCCCAGCCATCTGGCTTTCGAGACCACTTGTGGGAAGGGGCATAGAGTGCTCATTGCAAAGAAAGAGCATCTCTGTTTATCTCCAAATTCCTCCTCTCTTCCTGGCTGGGGAACAAATCATCACAGCCCTCCTCACCTCATCTCCCAGTACACTTTCGGTTGACCATCCTGCTCGTCTCCAGTTCCTACCAAGCCTGGAGGGGAAGCATTTGGAGGTTGTGCTGGTGTGGGGCTGTGGACAGCTCCCAGGTTCTCCCTGCATGAACTTCTCAGATTCTGGCTTCTAGGAGAAGAGCCTGCCCTAGGTTGTCCGGTGATTGTTTCTCCTGTCCTGCACTAGCCTGAGGAAAGCAGGATTGGAGTGACTTTGCTTGCCTTTTGGGTCAGAACCTCCCAGAAGAGAGGTGGACCATCAGGGCTCTAGGAGGAATTTTATGGTAGTCATTCCCATCCCCAGGCCTACTTAGAGCTGCTAGCTCCGGGCTTCAAAACAGACAGCTCTAGAGCCAGAGGAGGAAGAATGGGGATTCCCTTCACACACGCTCCTGATGCATTTTGGGGGCACAAAGGCCACACCCTCACCAGCCAGTTCTGACTGGTGACAGCATGCAGCTTCTTCTGAACTGTCTGGATATTGAGGTAGGACCCCAGACCTCAACCACTCTGAGAGGTTTCTGGATGTTTCTCACATGTATTAGAGCTCTCCCCTTTTCACAGAAATACGCTGTCTTGGGAACTTGGGGGAAGGTTTCAAAGCTTTGCTGAGATGGCTTTGGGTCAGTGGTTGAATTGTGTGTGGGAGACTGGAGTAATAATACTACCTCTTAGCATTCATTGGGTTGGTTCTGCATGCAAGGCAAGACACTATCCTGGATATTATATGTGCTTGTGTCACTTTTAATTTACACAATAGCCATAAAAACTAGGTGAACTAATTTTATATGACCATAGGTGGGAAAACCAAGTCATGGAGAACCAGATTGCTCTTTGTCACCCCCCCCCCAAGTACATGGTATGGCTGGTTCCCCTAGAGGACAAGCTGTGAGTCCCAAACTCGCAGGCAGATTTTGCTGCCTGCAGGGGAGAATGAATGAGTGCTTCTGTCTAAGCCCAGGGGTGTATCCTGCATTCTCGCCTCTCCTCTAGACTCCAGAGTGTGGGACTAACATTGTGTGTCTAGAGTTTTCTAGGGTGTCCCGGAAGCCAGTCTAAGGAACTGCTTGTTGTTGAACTTCTCCTTTTAACCTGTTAGCAGATGTTTCTTTTTAAAATTCAGAGCTGGATGTCTATGTGTGATTTGCTTTGTGCTAAAAAGTCCAAGGCATTTGGGGTAGCAAGGATATCCTACAGGAGAATGTCTTTCTGGGAGTTGAATGAGAACAGAAGCACTGATTGAGAGCTCAGAGACCATGGTTCCTCCTGCAGAGGCCAGTTGGTACTAGGCATCACCACTCAATGAGCTTGTAGCATCAGTAGTGTGGGAACCATGGCCTTTCAACCCCTGGGTTCATTGAACTTTGCTTTATGCACAAATAGGTGGTTATCTCTGATGTTTTTCAGCATCTTAAAAATATTTGGAGAAAAAGACTTTCTAATTTTAAAAACAATAATTCTGCTTATTTTTCCTAAGCCACAACAAAACCAGATCTTTTGGGGGTTGGGGATTGCAATAGGCTATTTATAATCCTTCAAGTCAACAAAAATTAACTAACCATGTTAACCTTTAATGAGTCTAAATAAGATTAAATGGATTCCCAGCCATTTTTGACAGGTCTTATCAACTTTGAGAGTTTTGTCATACCCTATTCACAAACTTTTGTAGAAGTAGAGAAACTGTAGAACATGGGGTGGGGGCTCCTTCCTTTTGATGAAAGCAAAAGCATTGGTGGATTTGTCCCCTCTGACTATTGCATTAGACTTCCTGAGTGACATAATTCTAAGTACTTCCCTGTACTTAGGACTGGAATACTTCATTCACTCACAGACTCCATAGCAAGCACTCCCTTGTCACCTAAGCATTCTGTTGTACTCTAAAGCCTTGTAGAGTAGGACTTTGGCTGCTATGAATAGGTCAAGTCTATTTCTCTGAGGTCATAGTTCCAGGATGACCTCCTCTTGAAGACAAATGAAGAAAATCCAGCTGGAGAGTGGGAAGAGCCCATTTCTCAGCCCCACCAGGATGGGAGTAGTTACAAGTGAATATGGACACTGAGTTTGATGACATACCAGCACAGAGGTCCTGGGGAGTGACTTATGGAGGAGGAGAGGTGAGGCCTGCTGGAGACTATGGGTGACAGGAGCTCCAGAAGCAAGGGGTATGTCAGCGAGACTATTCATGCTCCTCTGGGTGACAGGAGTTCCAGAAGCAAGGGGTATGTCAGCGAGACTATTCATGCTCATCTTTTTCCACCCGTTCACCTCCACCTGCTACCTGTGTCTGTCTGGAAAAATCCCAGGGTCCCCGGTCTCCAGGGACTACATTCATTTTCTAGAGAGTTCATTAAAAATGAATCATGATTTTATGTGAGAAGGAAAATTCATACACCTGCTACACTCTTTCAGAAGGAGCGTGAGCAGTTTACCCCAAAATGTAGCTGTCTCAAGGTTGGGACACTTGGTTTGGTTAAGGCATAGCAGCTAAGGAGTAAGATGTATCCCTGAAATCCATTGTGACGGCATACCAATAAATGCTCTCTGCTCTGAACCACAGAAAGGAGAATCCTGAGAAGCTAGGTGGATTCCCTGGGTGTCATTTGAGGCTTTTCAGAGGAGGTGGGAGTTAGCTGCAGCCTCTGCCTCCTGTGACACATGTCCCCTCTTCTCACTCTGTGGGCGCCTCTATGATAGCCTATCGAGGGTCTCACAGGAGGGTGTCACAGTTCTCACACATGTATTCATTCTAAATCCTAAAATGCAAGCTTGTGGACAAGAGGGAATCTAAACAACTATGAGAGTACTCACAAGAAAAACAAAGACATCTTTTGGAACACACTGACTGTAAACACTCAGCATTTTAATGCACGTAATTTTCATTTTGGGTTGGTTTTTAAAAATTAATAATAAGGTGAGAGTATCCACCTTAGATTTTTTAATAATAGCGAGAAAAGACAAAATGGATTCTAAGAAACAGTTTGAAGATGATTCTATAAACAAACAAACAAAACAAAAGAACAAAATAGAACCAGAGAGATTTCATCCTCGTGAATTCTGTCTTAACCCATTATACAGTATCTTAAACCATGAGTTCTCTATGTGACTAAAAATTTAGTACTGTATTCATTTTACCTGTAGATTGTGACTCTGAATGGTTTTTGGCAATGCAGGGTGAACCAGGGTTTTAGATCAGAAGGCAGCCATCTACTTTTGTGTACTGTTTACAAAATGTTAGAAGATTGATACATCTTAGCTTAGCATGTGACATGGTATTTCTTGTGGCATTGAAGTCTGGGGATTCTTCTCTTGAGTCATGTGACATGGTGATTTCCTGTGACAGTGAAGTTTAGTGTCTTCTCTTGGACCAGAAGTCTTTTCCCGAAGGAGTAAATTAATAAGAAGGCCCATACAGTCCTTCATAAATGAATGACTAAGTCTTGGAAAGAGAAATAGTCCCATAAGAATGGATTTTCATCTTCAAGGGATAAATGAGCAGATTAAGGAAAGTTACAATGTTTCTCATTCCATTTCATGCTAAGCTCCTAAGCACATTTTATGTTAATACTTGTCTAGTAAAAATATCACTACACTCCTAGGGAGTTTTCTTTTTCAGTGTTTTAGTGCCTTTTGTTGGGAAAACAAAATGGAAACAAATACGTATCTCAAATGATTTCCAATATCATGGAGCAAACTTGATAGTGCACTGTGTTTCCAAGTATATGCTAACTTCCTGGTTTTCTTTCCTTTCCCCTTTCTCCAGCCCTCCCTCTCTCTTTTCTGCCCTGGTTTTCTTCCTTGGGTTAGTGATAGGATAGGCATTCTCTCCACTACCTTACTGGGAGAAACTTTCACAGGACATGTCTCTAGGCAAGGGAAGGACTGTAGGATCTGTGCTCTGTGTGTTTATCTAAAGCACCAGTCATGAGGTTTTTCCCTGGCTCTCCCCCAGTCTTCTAACCTCACCTCTGACCTAGAGGAACAGGCCTGCCCTAGGGGCTCCTTGCTTGTAGTGACTAAGCAATGTCCTTGGCTGGGAATTTGGGCAGGAGAAAGGTCCTGGTCTGGCCTCTGGGGTTCCCTACAGTGGGGCCATTAGAATTACCCAGCAGGATGCTTTCCACCCATCTCACAAGTTAAGCTTTCGTTTCTCAGTTGGGAGTAGTGTACAGTCTATTCTTCCCACTGTGTTTCAGAAATACCTCCCATCAGTGAAATATGTTTTATTTCTAAATGGTATGATTGGGTCTGTCTGTGACCAACACTTCTGCTGCAGAGTCTGAGGAGTGGCCAGTAGGTGCTGGAGGGCTAGGTGACAGGCAAGAGTAGTAGAGAAGACAGGTGTTAGAGAGAGAGGGAGAGAGACAGAGAGAGAGACAGAGAGAGAGAGAGAGAGAGAGAGAGAGAGAGAGAGAGAGAGAGAGAGAGAGAGAGCACAGCAAACGGAACCAGGCAAAGGAAGGGAGTCTCAACACAGGAGAGTGATGCCTATGTCACCTAGAAACCCAAGAACAATGGAAAAACCAAAGAGGAGACAGAGTGTGAGATATGTCTCCTGAAGTGGTGATGAATGTTAGAGAGAAGTGAGGTAAGAAGTTCCTAGTTGTCTAAATCTGCACAGAGGGCCAAGTTCCTTTCTCACATGCCAGAACAACTCAATACTGTCCCTCCCCTGTCCCCAGACCTGGCCTCTTATGGCCATTTGTAGCACAGCGTCCTTGGCAGATCAGATGAAGCTATGGGACCCTGGAATAAGATGTTTAAATGTATTGCATACATGCAAGATTACACCTAAGATTCATTTCCAGCCATTGTTGCTGCCATCTGTGGCTCTCATGGAACGCATACACTAATACAACCTCCTTGGTTGCAGTAGGTGCTGCCCCTTCAAAGTAACAGTGTGTATAAGAGCTACTGTGAGCTAACTGCACTGTGGTCTGATCATGCCTTCCCCGTATTAATGACAGAACCCTACCTCTGCTAATTCCCATGGGGTCTGCATTGGCATTAGAATGGAACACTACTTTGTGATAGAAGGCTAAGGAACAAAAGTTGTGAATTCTGTCCATTCAAGTTCATAGACTGGTCACTTGGGTTCTGTTGGTGTATGTCTTGCAAGTCTGTGATTATATGAGATCACTGGACGGGGGTGACCCCTGAGTTTGCCAAGCATCTTTGGAAAATGGGAAGGACTGTGGTTGTTTCTCCAAATTTCTGGCTCTAGCTTGAGGGAGACCTGATGAGTTGTATGTAGCACAGAGGTCTCATTGTTACTTTAGCTACAGAGCCTTTCTCCCTAGACCAGCTTTCACTCCTCTGCACCAAGGAATTGCTTTTTCTTCCTTATTCATGGGCATGAGAGATGAGGAAAATGGAGAAGAATGTAGGCTGAAAGAATTTCCCATATCAGGACCCTGCCAGGCTGTGGGAGGCTGCACTAAGGACATGGGTGGTGATGAGGGGGTAGGGGGCATCTGAGAGCAGCTGCA